AGTATCCGCATCCAGTGGGTCCCTACTGATAGCGACAAGAAAGGCGCCAAATTGGCCAAGGAAGCAGCGGCATTCTCGACGAGGGAAGATTGGCCATTCTACCCGCCAGACTGGGCGGACATCCAACTTAGATCATCAACCTGGCGATGGAGGCGTGATGCACTCCAACAAGATCGAGTCCAGCAGTTCAGGCGGACAACAACTGGAAGATACACTAGAGAGCTTGATGCGGCCCTACCAGGGAAACATATTAAAAGACTCTATGATCAACTCCCAAGAACCCAGGCATCTATACTTGCGCAGCTCCGAACAGGGCATGCCCGCCTGAACACATTCCTTTATCAAATTGGTAAAATTACTAGCAATGAATGCGATTGCTTGGAAATGCCAGAGACAGTGGAACATTTTCTCTTTCACTGCAAGATATGGGAGGACTTACGTGCTGAAATGAAGACTGAGATGGGCCAACGGTACGGAGACCTTTCCTATGCCTTAGGTGGAAGATCATCCCAATCATCAGCGAGTGGACAACCAGTGGATCAAGAAAGAGGATGGGCACCAAACACCAAGGTAGTCAAAACTGTAATCCAGTTTACCATCAAGACCGGAAGATTCGACAAGGACTGATAAATCAGGGGGATCAAGGAACATCACGTGTACATAGTTGATTACGTCAGGATAGACTAGCTCAGAAGGCTACATGCAGCCTACGGCCGCGAAAAGCCTGAGGAATGTTATTATTATTATTATCATAAGTTAGTTGACTTGGTCTTCTATTTGATCATTTTTACATCTTGTGACAGCCTGGTCACGTTGGCTGGTTATCACGTGAGATGCAGTTGTTTGCTTTGTTGATAAATACGGCGTCACCCCCTTTCTTCCTTCCTCATGTTGATTATTCTCGTCGATAGCTACCTAGGTAGAACCCATGAGTTGGATCTTCGATTATCCTAGTAGAGCGCCGTGACAGCCCATGGGCCGAAGACTTTTGTCCAAACCCGTCCATGGGCGGGTTTTTGGGCCGGCCCAATGGGCGGCCCGTGGGCCAGGCCAGGTCTAATCAGGAAGGCATGGCTTTGGTTGTTGAGGTGGCTTGGGTTGATTTTTGATGGATTCAATCTCATTCCAGAGGGCTTGAATTGCAGAAGAGAATTCATTTTGGAGTTCTTGGAAAGGGTCCATTTCAAAAGAAATAAAAGTTGATTGGTCGATGAAAAAGGTCTTGAAAAAGAAGGAAATATAAGCTTGAATCTTGAGTCCTGAATCTTGGAAAACTTGACTTGAGGGTGTGTTTGCCAGCTCTGCCACTGCTTCTGGACTTCTTGCGAGAGTTAGAACTTGAAACTTGAATGGAGACACTGTTATAGCCTGGCCAGCTCCCAAACTGCGGCACCAGTGAATCCCTTGATGGGAGAAGCCTTTGGTATTTCTCTCCCTAAGGTATAAAAGGAGGATGTCAATTATTATGTCACAGAGCTCAGCCAGGTTATGGAACATCAACTCATGTGTTCTACCTAGGTAGCTATTGACAAGGATAATTGACATGAGGAAGGAAGAAAGGGGGTAACGCCATATTTATAGACAAAGCAACAAAGCAAACAACCACATCTCATGTGATAACCAGCCAACGTGACCAGGCTGTCACACAGATGTTGCTAATGTGTGTATTTGTGCTTTACCTATTTTGTACATTTACCAGCAGCTGCACTGAAGTGGTGGCGCCAGGACTGAAATGCCACGAAAATGTACCTTAAAGGCCACGATGTTTTGTGGCCTTTCCTGCGTCAACCCGAGTTACTCCGTACTTTGTCTCATGTGCAGCTACCAAGCAGCCAACCCAACTCTCCCAACAACACTCCAATGCAAAAATGTCATCCTCGGCCCTTCAATCTCATCCGCAACCGCAACCGCCAAATCCTCATTATATATCGCGCCGTCGACGGCCTCTACGGCAGGATCCTCTTCCGAATCTATGAATACCTTATATCTTCCCGTCCGAACGCCTTGGTCTCGTAGCTGGCCCGGAGGCGATAGGAAGGACCATTTCTTTTCGCGGACGCCTTCCCACATTGTTAAAGCTGTTCGGGAGGAGGTTATAAGGGAGCGGGTTTGGGGGGAGGTGAGTTTGCGCTTTGCGAAGAAGAGGTAGGTCCATGATAGGGGGCGGAAGAGCCATGAGAACCCTGTTTTGTTAGCTTGGTTGTTTGTACGGGGGAGCAGAGGGGGGCTTACAGCCTGGGTGCTCGACGTTGTTCCGGGCCCAGCGGAAGCCGGTGATGAATAGGGAGAAGAAGAAGTTGCCATGGGTTCTGGCGCGCACGCGCATGTAGTTCAGGTGCTCGTCAGGCCATGTGTACCTAGTATGGTGAGCCTCTGCCTTGTACGGGAGTGGCCATGGAGTTGGGGCTTACCACCAACTATACGCAAAGCCAGTCTCATCAACTAGCTGTCTTCTATTCATCGTATGAAGCGATCCCGCTCCTCCTGCTCTCATTAGCACAATTCGAAAAAAAAAAAAAAAAAAAAAAAAAAAAAAAAAAAAAAGGCGTGAATGACGTCCGAAGAAGCAATGGACCCATACCAATAACAATAAAGCTCCCACTATGACTGGACCCCAAAAGCGCCCTCTTAATCACCCCATGCCCCTCAACCCCATTCTCATAAACACTCTTCAAGTCCTTGATCCCCGGCGCAAAAGCACACACAATTGCATCAAACCCACTCGAAAACACATCCCTCAACATTCCCTCATCCCTCACATCCACAGCAACACTCTCATACGCACCCCTGTGCGAAGAATTCTCCCCCTCTTTCCAAGCATCAGGCGGATTCCGCGATATACCAATGACATCATGGCCGCGGTATAGTAGTTCGTCGACGATGCAGCTGCCGCATTGGCCTGTTGGGCCTAGGACGGCGATGCGGAGGGGGGGAAGGCCACGGTCGGTTTTCTTTTTGTGGCTGCGAGAGGTGCGTTTGGATTTATGACTGCGGAAGGGGGTGGACATTGTTGTAAATTTCGTATTCTCGTAATTCGTAAGTTGCAATTGAAATGGTTAAGTTGTCAATCGTGGTATCGATACCGGGATGACTCCTCGGAGTCGGCGGTGTGAGGGACCGATGTCTCCCCCCACTTTCCCACTGTTTTTCCCACTTTCCCACATTCGGTGTTGATAGACTCCGTCCGGGTGAAGTATATAAACTCACATAATAAGACATGAATGTAGTACAATCCGATCAATTCAAGTTCAATTGCAAGAAAGAAGTAACATGGCTCGATTCCCCGATCTCCCTTACAAACCTCTAACCCACCCCTCCTCCCATCCGGTCTTCAAATACAACGGCTTCCACCCAAACAAAACTCACATCCTACCAAAAGGCCATGTCCGCGAGTCTGGCTACCAAGCCTCCCCCGTAGACGTGATCTGGGAGCAAGACACCTCCATTAGAATGCGCGACGACGTCAAGCTCTACGCAGATATCTTCAGGCCCGCAACCACGAATGGCGCCGAAAAAGTCCCTGCAATCATCCCTTGGAGTCCATATGGCAAGGTCGGGACTGGATCCCAGACATATGATAACATGGGACCGTGGAGGATGGGGATTCCGTTTCAGGTGTTGAGTGGGTATGAGACGTTTGAGGGACCGAATCCGCTTGAATGGTGTGGACGGGGTTATGCGGTTGTTGATGCTGATGCCAGGGGAGCGGGGAATTCAGAGGGTGATATGGCTTTTTGGGGAGAGCAGGTCTGTTGCCTCCAAAGTGTTTGATTGAGCTGTCTAACCTAATATAGGAGGCCATTGATATCTACGACACCATTACCTGGATTGCCGCACAACCCTGGTGTAATGGCTCCATTGTTATGATGCACGCAAACCGTTTCCTTTATGACTATACCAAATGCTGACAAACGAGCAGGGGCAACTCGTGGCTCGCAATCTCCCAAATCAACTTTGCCTCGCGCTTCACCCATCCCAACCTTAAAGCCATCGCCCCCTGGGAAGCCCTAACCGATCCCTACGATCACAGCCTGTGTCGTGGTGGTGTTCCATCGGCGCATTTCTTCCAGATGATTCTGGGTGGCTTTGCTGGAAGTGGCAGGGCAGAAGATTTGGGAAGTATGATTAGCAAGAGGCCTCTGTTTGATGAGTTCTGGGAGAGTAAGAGAATTTTTCCGGAGAGGATTCGAAATGTGCCAATGTATTTGACGGCTTCGTATTCGTGTGTCTTCCTCATTTCCTTGACTAACTGATGTGGCTACTTGCTGACGAATTAGAACTGGACTGCATTGCGAAGGATCATTTGAGACGTTTCAACGTGCGCGGACTCCAAAGTGGCTAAGGGTGCATAACACACAGGAATGTAAGTCTAACCCTGAGCGTGATCGACCTGTACCACGCTAAATAATTAGGGCGCGATATTTACAAACCGGAGGTCCTCGACGATTTGCAACGGTTTTACGACTTCTACGCCAAGGGCATCCAAAACGGCTGGGAGACTGATACTCCGCGCGTCCGGCTGAGCCTTCTAGGCTATGAGAATAGCCCTGCAAAAACTGTAGTTGAGAGACCGGAAGAGGAATGGCCACCGGCTCGTCAAATGACAAGAAAATACTATCTAGACGCATCCACTCGCTCGATGAGCACCTCAAACCCCGAGAGAGTCTCCAGCATCAGCCACGAAGGCCACTCCCTAACCGCCTCTTCTGTAATCCTCTCCTCCTATCATTTCAAATACAGAATTAACAAAAATAGGACTTCACTTTCTACTTCTCCGAGTATACCGAACTCTGCGGCCGTCCCTACGCCAAACTCTATATGTCCTGCCCAGACAATAAAGACTTCGACATCTCCATCCAACTCCGCAAACTATCCTCGACCGGCGAACCCCTCGAATCGCTCAACTGGACCCCCATGCCAAAGCCCGCTCCCGAAGTCCCCAACGTAAATGTTGCAAAGCATCTCGGACAACAAGGTATGCTCCGCGCCTCCCACCACGTCAGTCTCCTGCCACCAGAAGATGGAGATGAGGATGGATTCCCACACTACGACCACAAATCCAGACAGGATATTGTTCCCGGTGATATCGTTCCATTTTTGGTCCCAATTTGGCCAGTTGGTATGGTTTTCGAAGCTGGGGAGGGATTGATGTTGCGGGTTTCGGGACATGATATGATACTGCCGGAGGTGGAGATTATGAGGTTGAGGGAGCCGGTGGATGAGAATGTGGGAATGCAGGTTGTGCATACGGGTGGGGAGTATGCAAGTTTCTTGGTACTTCCTGTTATTTGATTTGTATACTAGTTGTACATACTGTATGGGAAATTCTGCATGAGAACTGACTCCTGTAGGAGCCTCACTACACTGGTTCTACTTGACACCACCTGACTTCAATCCAGATTACAAGCGACTCAGTGAGTGGTTCCTGCATAAAATTGATACAGTACACAGAAGCCTGTAATACTGGCCAGTGTATGTGTGTGTGTGTGTGTGTGTGTGGCACAAAGCGCGGGCGCTCGCCGGCAGCATGATGTTTTTGACTACTTTGGCCTGTTTGGATATAGGACAGGAACCCCTCCGCACACTAGATAGTTCAGCGCTGACATACTCAACTTCCTTCCCTTCATTCTCATGTTAGTATTTCATAAAATAGTCTACCAATAGACCCATATTATTCAGGATCATCACAGTACCTGATGGTCTGAGCCCGTGACATTGCTCCGGAAAGGTCTAAATGCCATTTTTAGAGAGTTAGGATCTTTGAATACACTGGAGTCAGTCTTTGCCATGAAGTAGTCATTAATCATCATATATTTCCATAGTGTGCGGTTCCAGCGTTTCATGAAAACGAGGCTAAGTAGCACAATTGGCATTGCTCTCAACCTCACAGCGCAGTGATAGCATCCATTATTTGTAAAGTGGATCACAGTTGTAAAAATGTCGACTTTTTCTTATATATGGCACCGCTAAATAAAAGGGCCGGTTTAGTTCGGTAAGATTGCAGGATTGGCCTTGCACGTTTTATCCGGCTCCCTTGTCAGGATGCAGCCTGAGCAATCAATGTATGCTCCTGAATCGCTCCGGACACGTTCCGGGCTGCTCAAGGAGCCAAAAGCGGCGAGAAGTCGGACTGAAATAGAAAGGGCAAGTTTCCAGGCTTTCACACAAAACATCTACAATAGTTCGGATGATAGCTGTCAATAGGTTCTAGATCTACTATGAACGCTAAGCAGCATTAAGGATATGGATCCACAAGCCAGCGAATCAGATTTCTAGCTGAGACCTCGGTTATTGAAATGGGTAAGGGTCCCACAACTTTATCGAGCTTATTTGCATTACGCATAGTTTATCCATTTAACGCTACCAAATATATCATCGAACCCCAATTTGTGATGGTAGGATAATCTTTGAAGTCTACGCCTTATCTAGTTTGCGACATTAGGCTGTCAACGAGCGCAGCCACTAAGTAAAAGATCCCTGTCATGTTTGTTGTTGTCAGCCTTGACTGACTGCATATACAAACAAACGGCGCAACACAGTCCCCAGCCGTCTAGGCAGTCATGAGACAGCTCAGTGTTTGCTTTTATTTGGAAGCTAGATTCCTCTTCCTCTTCCTCTTCTTCTTCCTCTTCTACTCGTCTATTCTTCCATGATCTTGATATCCAAGCCGCCGTGTTTCGTGGTTCGAAACTACCGTCTGTTATCTCCAGTGCTAGCACGACGAACAGAACAATTCTCTCTTTACAAATCTACATCCTTTGAATTACCACCAAAATTCTCTCCATTCTGAGATCCCTCTTCACCCGCACCATGCCCCGCAAATACTACGCAATATACGAAGGCCGCGTCGACAAACCCACCATCTACTCTTCTTGGTAAATACACTTCCCTTCACTGAGAGCTTTCATTCAATGTACTGATATTCCCTTCGCATCTACACAGGGCCCAAGTTCACCCCCGCGTCAGAGAATGCGAAAACTACCACAAAGAATTCAAAACGCAGCAAGAAGCAGTCGACTGGATAAAAGCGAAAAATGTGCCGGAATATGAAATAGAGACTATTTCCACGGATGGATCCAGAGATTGGGAGCGGCCAGTCAAGGGGATATTCTATTATGCTGTTCCACATGGGCGGACTACAGGGGTTTTTAGGGATTGGAAGTAGGCTATCCCCCAGCTATTCCGTCTTATTCTATCTTGCTTTTGATGCGGCTGGAACTGACCCGGATTGATGACATGTACATAGGACAACCGAAGCAGCGATTACGAAATTCCCCTCCGCGTGTCACCAGAAATTCGGCACCGAGCACGAAGCGAAACATTTTATTGAGGAGTGGAAAGATGCGTATGCGGATGTATGGCGACGAGCAATTAGGAAGGGATTGGATGAGGGGTGGAGGCCGGAGGATTTGGCAGTGGATATTGGGAGAATTCTAAGTAGGGTTGAGGATAGGGGGGTCAAGGACGAGGATGAGGGAAGTATTTGTTCGGGTATTGAGGATTTGGCATTGGATGAGAGGAGGAGAGATTCGGGGGTGAAGAGTAGGTCTTTGGTTTAGGTGTGTTAGAAAGAACGTCATCGTCCGGTACTCTTGGGACGGTAGAGATTAGATACATATGCGTGCTATTCAATTTACTGTGCAGATCCCTCAGTGGTATAAACTTGCAAACTAAAACAACCATAATGACGAGTGCCTATCATAAAAAGGGAAATCCACCATATACCTCCCAAGCCTTTATCTCCCCAAGAAACTCACACCTTCTCCACAACCCTAACAGTCGGCTTCACAACCGGCACAGCAGTCCCATCATCAACCCACTCCAAAACCCCCGGCATCCCCTCCCCAATCCCCATCTCAAACCTCCCCAATAAATACACCACAACCAAATACATAAATACCCACGACTGCTTCATTCCAATACAAGCCCTTGGCCCCTTACTAAACGGCATGAAATACTGCTCCGGCAGTTGCAGCTCCTCGGGGCTCTTATTGAGCCAGCGGTCTGGGTCGAATTTCTCTGGATTCGGGAAGATGCTCTCATTGTGGTGGAAGACGTAGTGTGCTGCTGAGATGCGGGTTCCAGGGGGGAGATAGTGGAGGGCGATGGTTAGACCAGTGGAGGGAACGATGCGTGGGAGAAGGCCTGGAACTGCAGGGATGATGCGGAGGCTTTCTTTTATGACGGCTTCCTGTTGCATGGTTTAGTTTGTTATCTCAGTTGTATGGAGCTGAGAGGAAGTGTACCAAGTACGGCAGCTTGTGCAATTCGCGCAAGTCAAAGTCTGCAGAGACGATGCCACCCGGAAACCTCTGTTCCAGGTCTGCTAGTTCATTTCGTAATTTTGTCTCAATATCTTGGGATTTGAGGATGTAGAAGAATGCGGTTGTCAATGTGATGGCGGGACTTGCTGTTCCTGCGATCATCAACACGACCGCTTGTTGAAAGAGTGCTAGTGTGTCACGGCTTGTGAAATTATCGGATGTGTTATCTAAGAGCTTATCGAAGACTGTTTGTGGTGCTTTTGCATTTTCCTCTTTTGTTGATAGGACTCTGTTACCGAAGTTTTCACAGTGCTGCAATGTGTTAGCATACACCCTAAAAAGTGAAGCGATACGCACCTGGTACAAATCCTTAAACCCAATAGTAATCCACTCTGGCGACATCGACAGCAAAAAGAGCCCGATAGGAACCAAAAATGGAATGTCGGCGACTTTAGATGTTAACCAACCGCATAACACCAAAACTGTAGGAAACGAACTCACAAATCCACCGATACCGACCAATAAACTCCTGCGCAATTATCCATCCAGACTGCGGATCTTCATAGCTCACCAACTCCGAAGGATGATCCAGCAGCGTCCCCGCAACGAAATTGGCCTGCATGTTACACAATAGTTAGCATCAGGGCTATCTCGGCCAGTCCTTATCCGAATGTGATTAGCATTCGAATCCAAGTCCAAATCAATATAGATAAGAAAAAGAAAAGATGACATGCAGTCAAAGCCCGAAGGTACACCAATAAATCCAGCAACTGTCCATTCTGTCCCTGACGTGCCATCACTCGTGCGACTTTTGTGACATGGTTTCTCCCGATGAGGAAGATCCGAGTCATATCTCGAGGTGTGAACAAAGGAAGCATTGCATTCCGCATGACTCGATGGCGCTGGGGTTCCGTTGTGGTGAGAATTGTGTCTACGCCTTGCGCGGATTTGTAAAAGTCGGAGCATTTGCGGGGCGAGGGTTTTGCGGTGAAGGCTCTATATGGCAAACATATTTTATTTGGCTTTCATTGGCTCTGGCTCCTGATTGGATAGTTGGTAATTACCTTTTGTATGCTTCGATGTCGTTAATGTGAACGTGGTTGGGCGCGATTCGAATGACCGGTGAGTCTATGTTGATTAGCGAAGAGGCAAAAGTGGGTAGAGACAAACGTACTATACTTCTTGTGAAGATGGGGTAGTAACTTCGTTATACCTCCACCTTTAACAACTTCATAGTATCGAAGATACAGACTCGTGGCGCCAGCCAGTCCAGGTCCTGGGACACAGCATAGAGGGTGAAAGTATAATCGATAAAGCACAACCGTGGCTCTGAAAATAGCCGTTAAAACGACAGCCGTGGAGAGAATAGTATAGCCAGACAGGCTTATGCTCTCAGACATTGTGGACTGCGATGTTGCCGACTTTGAACGTGGCCATTCCAGCGCCGCTAAATAAGACCACCTCACAACTGATACCAGGGCTTCCTTGTAACTAAGAGCAGTAATTGTCTGCAGAAACCTAGATATGCTTTCACATGCAATGTGATACAAGAGTTCGAATGATAAAGCAGCCCTGTAGACAGGAGTGAGGTTGCGTGTGACAAGTGCTATCAGACTTGATATTTATCCATGTCCCATCCGTTCTGCTGTAGATTGTGAGATTATATGCCATATTCTAACAGCCCTGGCGATGGCTTTGCCACTAACCTGCGAGATGGACGATTACAAGGCGACAGTGACCGCAGTCCCCGAATCATTACGGAAAGCTACCACCTACCTACAAAGCCAAGTCCGCGATGACGGCCATTGGTGCGCAGAAGTCAAATCGAATACTACTGTCACATCCGAGTACATCACTTTACTCTATGCCCTCAACCTCCCCGTCCCCGACGGCCCCGAGCCCTGGATATCCTGGATAGTGTCGGAGCAAAAGTTTGATGGCTCCTGGGGTCCCGCGCCAGACATCCCCGGTGATATATCGGAGACGGTCGAAGCATATTTTGCGCTGAAGATCTTGGGCCTCGACCCTGAAAATCAGGTCATGAGGAAGGCAAAAAGTTGGATCCTTGTGAATGGAGGAGTGGCTCGTGTGCGCATCTTCACTCGTATCTACCTGGCATGTTTCGGCCTGTTCCCGTGGTCTTCTATCCCAGAACTACCACCGGAGTTTATTTTTATGCCGGTGGCTGCTCCATGCAGTATTTATTATATGGCGTCTTGGGCCCGGGCGACCGTCGTGCCTCTGTTACTTATCAGTCACCATCGGCCGGTATTCGCTCTGCCAAACGGACGGAACGAGAACAATACATACCTCGACGAGATTTGGTGTGATCGGGGGATAAATAAAAACGTCCCATATACGACTAGCTTATGGACAATGGCCTGGCAATTGGATGTCACGTCCGTGGCTTGCACCGTCGTCGATAAAGCTCTGCGTTATGCTAACGGAATGCGCAGCACTCCCTGGCGATTAGCTGCACGACGTCGATGTCTGGAGTGGATCCTAGAGCGGCAGGAAGAGGATGGTGGCTGGGCAGGTATCTTCCCGCCCATGCATGGAGGTGTCTTGGCTCTCTACCTTGAGGGTCATTATAGTACTGATCCGAAGAGCCCTTTTCAGCGCGGAATTGCTGGTTTGGAAGGGTTCATTTGGACGGATGACCGAGGGAAGCGAATGCAGGCCTGTGTATCTCCCGTGTGGGATACTATTCTTTCAAGCATCGGTTTGCTAGACGCTGGACTTCCGGGGGATAATGAATATATTGTCCGCTCGAACGCATGGCTTCTCGCACGCCAAGATAAAGATCACGGGGCTCAGTCTCCAGGTGACTGGAGAGCTCTAAATCCGAATCTGATCCCAGGCGCAATCAGCTTCGAGTATTTCAACAAATGGACACCTGACGTTGATGACACGGCAGCTCTCATCCTCGCCTTTGTCAAGAAAGAGCCTAGCTCCATCGACTCAGATAGCGTAGTTCGAGCCATCCAATGGATTCTGGGAATGCAAAACGCCGATGGAGGATGGGGCGCTTTCGATCGTGAGAATAACAAATTATTCTTCAACCAAATTCCCTTCAGCGATATGGAGAGCATGTGCGACCCTTCTACGGCGGATGTCACCGGACGAGTAATCGAAGCATTTGGATTGGTGATGGAGAAGCACAGCAAAATTAGTAGGTCTTTTGAGAAGTTCCTGCTCACTCAAAGCATTCGTGATGCCATGAAAGAATCCGCCAATCGGGGAATCGATTATCTCTTCCGCGAACAAGAACAATCAGGCTCCTGGTACGGCCGCTGGGGCTCCAACTACCTCTACGGCACAAGTAATGTTCTTTGCGGATTATCTAATGCCCATTTCATCGACAACTCACGAGCAGGCCTCATCAACGAATCCATTAAACGAGGCGTCGACTGGCTTGTCAACGTGCAAAACACAGATGGCGGCTGGGGCGAATGTCTCGAGACGTATGCACGCCCCACCTTGGCTGGACAAGGGAAATCGACGGCTTCACAAACTGGATGGGCGCTCATGGGTGTCCTCACGCTATTGGCAGTGACGGACATTACCGTCAGACGAGGTGTCCAGTATCTACTTTCGACTCAGAGGGAGGATGGGGCATGGATTGAAAGGGAGTTTACCGGGGTTGGATTCCCGAATCATTTTTATTTGGGATATGTTTATTATCCGCATTATTTTGCGATGATGGGGTTGGGGAGGTATGCTTCGCTATGTGGGTTAAAGGTGTTCGAGGATGTGCCTGGATAGGTCGTGTATGTAGATCGTTTGGAGATTGTCGCGAATGGTACCAATTAATATAGCTCTTAATTGATTATAATCTGCTATTTCATATAACTGAATAGGCTGCGAGCTAAAAGAAATCCTGGTTTTTACTGCCTAGGGGAATCTCAGGCGCGTCAGACATCTTGCGAATCCAGAAAAAGAGGACATTACTCTGAAGGTCTGCCATGGCTGACTTGGATATGGTCGAATCTGCATTTCATCAAGACGAAGATCGTAGTATAGATGAGCAACTTCTTAGTGAGACCATCTGTCATAAGATTACGAAGTACCATTAAGTGTCAATTTCGACCAAATACCTGGCTCCTTATACAACACCTGTCGGTCCTTCGGGCATTGATAAAAGCTTCATGGTGGCACAGTTAGCTTACCAGTATGGCATCTATGTGATCTATTTCAGCCTTGCCCTAGGAATATTGCTACAGTATCCCGAAAGGTCTACAATTGCGAACATACTGCCCCTGGGCAAACCTAAATCAGTTTCTGGAGGAGTCACCTTATCATTGCACTTTCCGATGCCGATGTCTGCAGACGTGTTAATGTCTTTCCGGGCATGTTCTACAAGCTACAGGCGATAAATGCGTACTACGGTTATCAGCAAGGATTTGCTAAGCGAGTCTCCGCTCTATTCGCCATGTACAAGACAAGACTTCGTGCTCTTGCATGCGTTCGATCTGCAATGGGAAACCTTCAAGAGAGATAATCAATCTCACGACATTGATGACACAGTATGCACTTCCTGGAAGAAAAGCTATCGGCAAGCTGAGCCGTGCCTTTGGGATGAATTTTGTTTCTTGGTTTTTATTTTTACTTTTACAACATTGCGCATGGCTATGATTCGATTGTTCTTAACAATTCGCTGTTCACATGCACAGACAATTGGAGATATCCATCCTATATCTCTAATGATGGGATAATAATGTCAGTAATTTCATAATGCTCTTCTACATACCAGTCAACCAATAGATGCCGTTTTCCTGCAATGACTATCCCACAATGCCATTCGTAATATGAGTATATTAGTTTAAGGTCGAGTAAAGCTTTCTGTTAGACCACTTATGCTTTCTCCACCTGAGTGATGACAGAATATAGGTACGGTTATGGTACATACCTAATAAAGGTCATCCAGTGGTTCAAACATGCTCTCTAAATGGAAAGATGTGGCCTTTGCTATGTCACAAACTGGAAGAGACAATGGAAGTCTCGTGCTTATTGTGTCTGCTGGGTCGGATGAAGTTGGAAAGGGAGCTATACCGCCATGGGTAGAAGAAAGGTCGACACATGTAAAGTCAACTATTAGCCCGGTTACGTGGGTTCATATTTACTCCCAAAAGGTTACCTGAGTAGCTGTTATTTTGAATGAATCGGGAGTTCTCGGTGCCATTGTTCAAATGTCCAACAGGAGACGCCATGTGGTCTTCCTAAACCCGGTCCAACATTATTCCACAATCTCTACCACTTGTCTGGACTCTTTCATTTTTCCAGTCCACTCTGTCCACATAACATATAAGTCCTTCAGTGCACCGAGCAGGGCCTCTGAATGTCTCCTGGAGTTTTGCAAACTATATAAGAGTTTCACAGCAGCAACGAAGGTCTTGGGATTTTGGTAGTTTCGATATCTGTCCTGGGGTTAGCGCGTGGGCCGATTATACTTGCCCCGATGTCAGAGCATTATGGCCGGCTAGCTATCTACCACTCGTACATGGTTATTTTAATATGAATAGGCCCACATGCATTGGATCGTACCTATTATTGACACATCATCAGTAAAGTTCGGAATCTTGGGTGTTTTTGTAGTGTTTTTTACAAACGCCTTTCATTTCTGTTTTGCTATTTGCATTCTAGTGAGCTAGCAATATCTAGCTTCCTTTTCAGACATACCTCGTGGATGCTTATACTCGTTATGCCGCCTCTTCCATCGCAGCGAATATGTTTTTCTTGTCTATCCTTTGTAGCATGGTTCCACTGTTCGGGGATGAAATGTACGAAAGTATTGGACTGGATTGGAAGAATCGAAACACTCTGGAAGTGACTATCGAGGACAGTGTTACACAGACAATCAAGGATAATGAATTATGGTTATACAATTGTAAGCAGCAGCTCCCATACTGAAGCCACGACGTACAATTAACTTGTCCTGACCTAGCAATATCCCAGTATCGTCCAAAGAGTTCAGCACTCCACTCACAAGCTGTGCCTGTTCCCGGTAGCTCCGTTCCTATGGAGACATCCTCATGCTCTGACTGGGTGCTAGCCATCGTAGTGGCTGTGTCAGTAAATATCGAGGAATGAAATTGGTTGGTTGGGAGGTTAGCTTCTGTTGTTTGGATATGTCGCATAAAAGGGGTAGTCGATGCCGGACTACAACCTCTCGAGGAAGGCAGTTGACCAGGCCTCATACTAGTTTCATGGTTTGAAATAGCCGGTGAGACTTCAGACGAGTGGACAACCAACTCCGGACCAGAAAACTCTGGTGTTTGTAGCGCAATTTGCATCCGGTCGCGTACGGTCAAAGCCTTCCATCGCAGCTCCTCAATATGTTTCCAGCGACAATCTTGATTGGTGTCAGGATCGTTTTTCCAGTAGTTGTAGATCTCATCAATCGCCCTCCAAGCGGCACTGGATGGCTCCGGGGGTGGTGCTATACAAAGACTCAGAAGAAAACACGCCAGAGCATCCCATTCGAAATAGGTCTGAGAGAGCCAGAGCCTTTGCTTGCCTCTTTCGTACTGTTGCATGGTGTGCGCATGCTGGAGGATCTCCTCGCAAACCTTTTGGTAGTTTGCCTGAAGGAGCGAGCCAAGATCATGGTCTGATTGTGGCTTGCACAAAGTCGATTTTAGCTTGACGAGAATCAAACGGTTAGATGCGGCCATAACGAAAACAAGAGCGATGTTTTTGTCGCAGTGCGACAAGTACTGGTTCTCAATTCCCTCTTTAAACTGATCGATCGCCTTGCATTTCTCCGAGACGCTGAGGATTGGATATGAACTTTTATGACAGAAGCTGTCAGAGAACACAACTCGTCGCACAAACCGGCTCACTGCGAACCGAACCAGACTGAACAACATCTCTGTCTGCCTGGCTTGGCTGGGTGGCAGCTCGCCCATGTTGGGATCGAGATTGGTGCCGTTGACATTTAATGGTAATGCAGTGGTAAAAGAGGAGTCGAGAATAGTTGGCTCCGAATTGTTGTCCTTGGCTGTGTTCACATCCAGTGTGTAAATCTGCCACCAGAGCCGGCGTCGCATTTCTGTCTCGAATGAAGGCAGGTTCAACGTGCTTCCATCACAGTGCAGACCGATCTCCATGGCTGCCCCAATGGCAATGCCGACTAGCGAGCAGACATTGGGGCCATTTTCGTCGCGTTGCCCGCATATCTAGAGAATGCCATTTTCACCACACCGCTTCATCCGACCTGGACGAACTGTGGAAATAATTACCAGATAAAGAACGAATGTCCGCAGGACACGCAGGTCCAGAGATTTCAGGAAGTCCGCTCGCCGGGGTGAATCCTCCACTCCGGTCCGGTACCTTGGTCGATTAGCAATAGTGAATCTTTAGGTGCAACTTAAAAGTAAGAGCTGAAGGGAGACAAACCGCTTCAGTAGTGTCGCTTTTTCCTCGCTGAATTCTCGACGGCGTTCAGCGGCCGGCATGGCTACCACAGTCGCATAATACACGGCGAACATCAGACACTCCGTGCAGGAATTGGGCCTCAATCAGCTTCGAATGACCCCCACCACAACCCATTGAACAGTGGGAACATGAAAGGTTTTGAGGACTGGATTGAACACATCCAGATAAGTCTGCCAATGAATGGAATTGCAGCAGTGGGCGGATGAAGGGGTTCTACGGGTGGTGCTGGGTCCGAGTGGAAGGGGAAACGCTGCCCAAACTGCCAATCTACGAACCGAGACGAAAGGTTCCGTTCCAGAGACTGCAATTTGCTCTCAATAAGTCGCACACGAGCTAAGAGGTCGTCGTCCATGCGTGGGGGGTCCGGTCTGGACGGCGGGTACATGCACTGGATCTGGGTCCGCACGCAGTAGGGCAGGACAACTCGCGGTTGCATTGATCTTGCGGCAGCGACATTCGAGACAAGACCGTCCTGATGCGATCACTCGTCGTGTCATGGGATCTTAAGGACAGGTGCGGAGGAATCTGGAGGGGTTCCGAAAGATGTCGAGAAGCGTTATAGTGTGTGTGTGTGTGTGTGTGTGTCTCTATTTAACGTCGAGGGTCGGGTCTTTCCATGCCTCCACAGCTCCTTGGGAGCCTCGGAAGCGGAAAAGCCCTGGTCCCGGTGCGGGACATACGACGGACAGATCGGAACTGCCTTTCTTCTAGCTAAACTACCATCTATCATCTAAATACAGGTGGCCCCCCGCGCGGGGGGC